ATGCTGCTCAGTCAGGCGTGGTGGCGCACACCTTTGATCCCAGCGTGCATGGGGGCAGAGGCAGGCAGATCTCTCTGAGTTCGAGGCCAGCCTGGTCTACAAAGGGAGTCCAAGACAGCCAAGACTACACAGGGAAACCCTGTCTCAGAAAAAACCTGAAAGAAAAGGTGCCACCCCTCTTACTCTGACTTTCACTCCCAGAGAGCTTGCCACGTGGCCGGATTTCAAAACAGTTGAGGCCCATGCCTCTTCCCTGTGCACAACTGTGAATAATCTTAACAGAACTGTTTCATATTTAAAGAACTGTAAAGAATATGTGTTTTTCAGAGGTGGTGGAGTTTAAAAATACATTCTGGGCCCAGTCCTTTCCTAGCTGTGTGACCTTGAATGACACCAGTGCTGAGTCTGGAGGTGGGCACAGGACCCACCCATCAAGGTACTGTCGAATTAGGTGAACCAATGCCATAAGCAACCAGGGAGGGTCCTGGGCACCCTAATGGCAGGTTCTCTCCACCATCCGTACCCCCTGTCTTTGCCTGTTTCCTCTCTCCTGTGCACTCCTGGGATGGAAAATCTGGGTCAGTGTGAGTAGCTGCTTAAGTGAGAGGAATATTGAGGAGAAAACCTCAGGAATTATAGCCTTCGGGAAAGCAACGACATTTCACTTAAAAATTGCTTGACTGAAGACTGTAGACATTTGCAATTTGTATGCAAATAAATGAGACTCCCCTGTCCCGGGCTGAGACATAGCCCTGGGCAAAAGCTTACGGAAGGAAGGTCTCTGCTCGGGCAGAGGAGCCTGTGTGAGCTTCCCTCCGCTGCCCCTTTAAAGGAAAGCCTTCCCCACAGCCTCCACAGCCCTACCCCTTTGCGGAGTTCATTAGTATGTCAGACAGCTAACTAGCAAGGCTGGTTCTCCTGCGGGCTTTCCGCATCTTCTCCGCTGTGAAATCCATACACTCAGTGTTTAATCAGGTACTGATTTGGCATTAACTTGCAAAGGCTCTTGGTGAAAAAGAATCTTCGCGTCGCCAGACCTCACCTGATTTCATGAAAAGCCAAGTCAACAAAGTAGGGGAGGCGGAGAACAAACTGGCACGCGTCCCCGAACTCTGACTCCGCAAAGTCAAGGGAGACATGCAGTTTTATTGTTCCCATGTCCACGCGTTCATTCATCTGGCAAGTACTTAATTCAGTACCTACTGTGCGCCTGACACTGTACTAGGAAATGTGGATATGAATGTCTTCATGAAGTTTGTAATTCAATGAGAATAAAACAAACAAAAACAAACAAAACCTTGCAGGCAGCGCTAATAAAACGCTGACTCAAGATAAAAGGGCAGCCAGCCAGGGAGCCCCTGCCAGGGCCCCTCAGCCAGGTGGCTCAGAACAGAGATGAACCTCATGAAACACCTGCCACTTACTGCCACTTAGTCATTTAGTTCTGAGAAAAGATCTCACCACTCTGCAGCCCTGGTTAGCCTGGAACTCATTACGCAGAGAGGGTTGGCTTCAAACTCCTGGGCAATTGTCTTGCCTTGGCCTCCCAAGTGCTAGGACCACAGAGGATTCCAGGTGTGCACACCCACACCCAGCAGCGATCCGTCTAGCCTGCTTGTTCTGTGTGTCTCCCGGTGTTTCGGCCTTGCTGCTTGCTTCTTCTGTGTAAAAGATGATATAAGAGCTGAGCCCAGGATACCATTCTCAGCAGCGGCCGGGAAGGAGGTGAGGGACCCAGGCGGGCTTTGGTGAGAACGTGTGCAAGGTTTGTGCGGGTTTCGGTGTCCCGGACGTACAGACAAGAGCACCAAAGGGCCAGGGTTGATATGGACTCATCACTGAGCCGTGAAAATCAGGGCGGCAAAAAGTGAGTATGCTGGGTCAGATTTTGTCTGTCTGTAGCCCAGGATGGCCTTGAATTTAAAGGACATCTCCTATCATATTTTTAAACATCTTGAGATTTGATTTATTTTTGTTTGGTGTGTGTATGAGGTCCTAAAACAATTTAGAGAACTTGGTCTCCTCCTTCCACCCTGTGGGACCTAGGACTTATTTAGGTCAGCGGGTTTGAGGGCAAGTACCTTCATCTGTTGATCCATCCTGCCAATTCAGATTTCATGATTGAGCACTGAATCTACCTTCTGTTAACTGGGTGACCAGTAAAAAATTTTAATGTTTTATTTCTTTGTGTTTTATGCACACGTGTTAGTGTTTTGCCTGCACGGTTGTCTGTGTACCATGTATATGCAGTACTGGAGGAGGCCAGAAGAGGGCATCAGATCCTCTGGAAGTGGAGTCACAGATGCTTGTAAAGCCACCACGGGGGTGATGAGAACCAAACTCAGGTACTCTGCAAGAGCAGCCAGTGCTCTTAACCGCTGAGCCATCTCTCCAGCCCACATTGGGTAATCTTGAGCGAGTGTGTTAATGTATCTGGGAGTCCTACTTTGTGGATGGTGTGACCTCAAAAAGTTGCGGGAAGGACTGAGAGAGTTTAAATGTGTGGCCCTTGGTATATTGTCCAGTAACGAGCAGGATGGCTCTAGGTGGAGGAGCCTTGGAAAGGACCCACCATGTGACTTACAGAAGCCGGTGGTATGGCACTGATTCGTCAATTAATGGATCATTGGTGTGGAAGCTTGTCTAGAAGAAAGGCAGCCATACATGGCTGCTGCTGCCGCTGAAGAGACTCATAAATCATAGAAAGAAATGCTGGCATGTGGCGCCAGGCTCAGTGGCAGCCCTCAGCCGAGCCTCACACCCACCCCTGCTCCACAGAGATCCATCACTGCCTAAGCCCTGTGGCAGGCACCCTGCTTAGCGTCTGTGAGGCCATACCACAGGGCTCAGAGCCTTCTGCCAAAGGTTGTGGCCCATAACTTCCAGTCAGGAGATCAGAACTCATCTCAGTTCTGAGTAAACCAGTTTACTCAGAAAGGAACAGGCAAGGTGGGTACCATGGCTTTAGCCAGTAATGCTAGCACTAGGGAAGGGGGGCTAGTAGGAGCAGGAGTTCAAGGTCACCCTTGGCAACATGGCAAGTTGAAGTCAGCCTAGGCTATATGAGACCTTAACAAAACAAACAAACAAAAACAAAATCAAAATAAACCATAAAAGCATGCCTCAGAATCTTGCTGAAGCAGCCATCCGTTGGTGGCACACGCCTTTAATCCCAGCACTCAGAGGCAGAGGCGGGCAGATCTCTGTGAGCAGCGCCAAGACCACACCCACTTCCCAGAACCTCAAGGGACTCCTGCCTTTGAGTGGATAGGAGAGACCCAAAGAGCAAGAAGAAAACAACCATTTCTTGGGCTTCTAAATTATTACTCTCCTCGATCCTCCCCACCCAGGGCCACTGAGTCTCCCAGGCCTCCTTATGGGGAAAAGAGCAAACAAAACAAAACAAAAGCCAGGCCTGGAGAAATGATCCCTAAGTTCAGGCCTGGCCTCTGCAGCTTTCTTCTAGATCCTTCAATGGGAATGGACTGAGTCTGCTGTGTACACCCAGAAAACGCCCAGGCCACCCAGCAAGGTGACCACTGAACCCAGCCTGGCTCCCCCTAGACCTAATTGGCCCAAGGCAGGCATCACCCAGATGGTTCTGGAAGCTGTTGGGAAGCATCATTTTCAGAAGGATTGAGCATCTCGTTGACTCACACCATTCAGCAAAAAAAAAAAAAGGGGGGGGGCTATATGTGTGCGTTCATTCGAGTGTGTGCTTGAGCATCTTTCTATTTTTTTTTTTTTTACTGGCTTGTTCCACCAGTGGCCGCTGGCCAGGAGAGCACAGCCCCTCTCCTGCTTCATGACCAGGCTTTAACTGAGCTCCTGGCAGGCAGGTTCTCTTACCATGAGAGAAGTTGACTGGGTCCCCTCCCTCCTGGAAGAGTGGTGACTCAGACCAGCACAGGGGACAAATGCCAGACAAGAGTTGGGTGTGGTCGTAGGGACATTGTGAACTTTAGTCTCTCCAGGTTTCCTTTTTTGGTCCCTGGTGGGAGAGGACCACACCCCAGACAGTGCTACAGAAGAGTCCTGAGGCTGCCTGAGGAGCAAGTAGAGCTGTCTGCACTGATCTCTCACAAGAGTAAACAGAGAGCAAAAGGAAGAACCTTGGTGAAGATCAAAGCCAAGTGACTTGCGAGTGCCGGTCAGCAGGGAGCACTTGAGTTCCATGTTCTGCACCACAGGAGGCAATCAACGAGCCAGCCAGTGAGTTAGACAGACAAAATACAGAAAAATGAAGCCACATCCCAGGACCCAGGAAATGCTTTCTTCTGGACAGTCGGGAGGCTGACCCTAGCAAACATTGCTCCTGTGTCCCCAGCCCTAGGCTTTCCTGCAGGCTCATGTGAGGCCTCTGTGTGCAGTGGGGGAGGGAGTTGTTGGCAGCACTCTGGCCGCTCCACAGCAGTTTATACACACACCAAGTCAGTACTTATTTTTATCTGGGTAGGCTCAACTTCTGATCACAGAAGTGGTGGAGTATGTCTATTGGTTTCTATGGAAACTGTTAGGTAGAGCATCTGCTGCCCGATCAAACAAACCTAAGCTGGTGGGACTCTTCTCGAATGATTTTGCTGTTTTTACCCAGGAAGACCATCATGCCTGAATGCTTCCCTGTGAACAGAGCAGGGAAAAAGCAGGTCTGAGAGACTAGAATGGCTCCCAGGGAAAAAGAACCGTTTGAGTGCAAGCATGGTGTCATGGCCACATCTATTCTGAGAAGCCCTGGGATTTCTATTTCTAAGCAGCAACAGGACCTCCATGATGAAGCAAAGAATGTGGGCTCAGCCCGACACCCCACTTCCTGGGTCCCCGCCTGCCCTAGCAGCAAGGCCACCTGCTGGCTTCACACAGAACAGCTGTCCCCCAGATACAGGAGAGGATTCACCTTGAGCATGTTCCTATCATTCATTCCACCTAATAGAGACCTGATTCCCCACCGGGCAGTGGAAACCGGCTTGCAAAGTTCTAAATCAAAGGTGCTAGCACATGTAGACATGTAAGAAGTGTTTTTATTCCAGGTGTGTTTCTTAAAGACAGCGTCCTCCAGGACAGCTTAGTGGCACATGCTTTGGTCAAGAAGAAAAGCAAAAACAGAGTTGGACCGAGTCCCTGCAACAGACAGCTGACAAGTGCAGAGCCTGGTCTGACCACAGGAAATGGGGGGAGAGGCCCTCTCAAGGCTCTCTGAGTGGCAGTCCTTACATTCACATGGAGAAGCCCAGGTTCCCAGCCCCAAGATGGAGCAGGGCCCAAGCCTCTAAGGAAAAGCCTCCACTTTGGCCCCATTTCTGTCCTAGACTGAGGCAGGAGGCTTCCCAGAGGGTTACAGGGTCCAAGGCCAGGTCTGTAGATAGCAGTGTGTAAGACATCCCAACAGGAGAGGTGAAACTTGGTCACCAACGTGAGGGGCCCTCTGCCGAGCCCAGGGGTGCACACATATTTGGCACAGAACTGCTGAGAGGGTGCTGGTGAAAGGCAGAGGTGCAAGGTAACTGCTGGAGAACCTTCCAGAGTGGGTACCACAGACCAGAAACTTGGCTTCTAACACTGAGCGATATACAGGCCAGGCCTGGCAGGGCAGGAATATAGAAGCAGAGCCGCAGATAGTGGTGGTGCTGATCCAGAACAGAGGATCAGATCCTCTGGAAACCAGGAAGCAGGGGAAAATCCAGGCTCCACTCCCACCTAAAGAAATTACATCTGTACACACACATGCAGCATTCTGGAGATTCCTAGACCTTCTGGAGTCTGTAGACTCCCTGTGAGCATGTGGCTGTCTGGTCTATGAAAGACGAGGGGGCTCCTGGGGTAAGAGTGACCTCCTTAGACTGGCTTACTTTAGAAGGAAGACCCCAAGAGTTCTGGGATCTTTTATCCAGATTAGACTGTGTGAGCCAGTGGTGGGGAGAGGGGTGGGATTTCAGAATGGGACCAAGGTGTGGTCTCTGTGTTCTCAGTAGTGGGAGAGGAGAGAGCAGGGGGTTCTCTGCACACACAGGAGCCACTGGCCAGCGTGGCAGCCCACTGCAATCGCTGGCCTTTGGAGAAGGGCCGTAGCATGAGGTCTGGCCTGGGTGACTTGGTCTCTACTGACTGGGAGATGGTTATACTTCAGAAAGGGGATGTAATTCTGACCAGCCACCCTGCCCCATCACACTGTGTTTACAGAGGCAAAGACCTTTGTAAAAGGTGGGGGTCCAAGAGAGTGAGCAAAGATGAGAGCATTTCAGGGTGTGTGATCAGGAGCCAGTTAATAGGGACAGGGTGTACCAATTTCTCCTACAGGCCCAAGTGTGAGGTCTTGGCCTGACATATGGCTAAGTGAAAGTGGGGCCCACTTAATTAATTATGCCCCAGGTCCCTTTTATGTACTCTCTTGCTAAGAATGTGGTCACCTAGAGGGGCTGTAGGCATATGTTAGGCCTGGGGCCTGATGCTGGCAAAGCATGGACAGGATGATGTCCTGGAAAGAGATCTTGTTTTTTTGGTACTTCACGGCCAGCTGCTTCTCCATCCACATTCTTTGAATCCCCATCCTCTGCTCCCAGAATGCATCCTTCCCTCACCCACCCACTGGACTGTACCTCCTATCCTTTCCTGTACCTTAGCTGCCCTTGCCTTCAGCCTCTTCATACACAATGCCACTTGTCCTCTTGTGTTGACCTCAGGCTAGCCCATGGCCCAACTTGGCTCCTCTGTAGGTTTCTGTCCTTGCCCCACTTAGGCAACAAGGAGAAAGCCCACATACCACTGTCTGGGGCAACCAAAAGGGCCAAGGGAGAAGACAGAGGGCCAGGAGCAGCTGCCAAGTCCCTACCCAAGACAGCTGCATTCTAACCATCTCCTCTCCCAGGGCAAGGCTGGAGTGGCACAGAGGGCATGGTGCTCGCCAACTGCACCCGCCCTGAACTAGCTTTGGAGAAACGCGTGGTAGGGGTGTGTACTGATGATCCAGTAGAAATGTGAGGAGATGGGAAACAGCCCGATTGACACTCCCCCACCCTAGCCCCTTCCGGTCCCCAAGTCTCATGCAGAAGGTACAGGAGGCTGGGGGCTCCCATCATGTGTGTGGCAGCGGTTGCCATTGCTGGGCCTGGGCATCCGCCTGACACTTGCTGGTCACCAGCTGGGCAGCCTTTGTCTCCAGGCAGAGGCCGCTGACGGAATGCTGGATCAAAGATCCTTTCCTTCTCCATTTCTGGGTGGAAGGGAGAGGGCGGGAAAGAAGAAGAAAGTGATTAAAAATAACAATATATGAGCTGAGGGCGGAGCTTAGTGATACAGAACCTAACCCAACATGAGCAAGGCTGTACTCCATGGCCAGCACAGGGCCAAAAAGTGGTTTGTACTTTCACTTCACGTGCATGCACACAATACTGCATATGCCTAGGACACGCCACACACATTTATTTATTTCCTTGGGTGTGTAACTGTATGCATTTGCATTTTCCTAGACCTGTGTGAGCATGTGCTTTCGTGGACGCCACAGGTTGATGTCATGTGTCTTCCTTTATCACTTATCTTTTGTTTTTGTTCTTCTTTTGTTGTTGTTTTGGGATGGGGGGTTGAGACAGGGTTTCTCTGGGTAGCCTTGGCTGTCCTGGACTCGCTTTGTAGACCAGGCTGGCCTCGAACTCACAGAGATTCACCTGCCTCTGCCTCTGCCTCCTGGGATCAAAAGTGTGCGTCACCATGCCTGGCTTCATCTTATTTTTTTTGATACACTGGGCTGGCAGGGACCCTCCTGTGGGCTTCTCCCCAGGGCTGAGGCCACAGGCTGAGCCTGGCCTCTTATGCGGGTGCTGGGGATCCAAACTGAGGCCCTCGTGATGACGCAGCAGGCGTGCTCACCGCCGCAGTGTCATCTCCCCAGCCCTCATCCCCTTCCTTTAGAACAGACTGTGTCCTTCTGCGGGTGCTCACTTCTGTAGTATGGCCCAAAGTTACTGTACAGCTCAGAGGAAGCAATACTGACCGTGCGCTGTGTCCAACCCAGAGGTGGGTTTGATTTGGCCTGCGCGGTGTTATTTTAAAACCCCAGCTTAACCGTCACCTCAAATCTGCATTTCCAGTTTCTCATGGGACACTAGGCCCAGTTTCTATCAGCTGGCTGGTCTGGCGCTCTCCCTGCTCTCTGCTGGGCGGGGGGGGGGGGGGAGGGCTCTCATTCCCCAGCTCCCCAGAGTCCCAACCCGGCTCTGACTTTTCTCCCCTAGCAGTCCCAACCAGTTCCCTGCAGCTATGCAGGTACCGAGGTTGTGAGGTGAATGTCTTCTCCCTGGAAAAAAGGCTTTCTCCTTCCTGCAACCGTACCTGCCACTACCTGCGCAGTCACGGCTCACACAGTGGGGTGAAGGTGGTGGAGTCACAAAGGGTATCCTAGCATTTTCTTCTTTCACGCTTGACAAGGTAAGGGGTGGGGGGAGTTGTTCCCACAGGACATTTCAGAATGATTGAGGGTGGTGCGTCACCCAGGACATGGAGACGGAAGGCAAGGCTGCGGCCCAGGTTTGGAGACTGAATAGCAATCAATGCCAGTGTTGTTGTTTCTCGCCTACTTTCTGCACAGCCACATCCCTTTCCTTATATCCACCTTATCTCTCTCTGAGGTGGCAGAGCTCATGACCACCAGACTGGAGCCCTCAGAGCTCCGAGGGAGAGGGTCCATGTTCTCACTGTGTAGCTAGGGGGCAGAGATGAGCCGCACTCAACTGTGGAGACACTGTTACTCAAAAACGGGCTGAGCTCCCACACGAACACCCGCATCTCCAGTTTCTCTTTGGATACTGGGCTGCTCTTGCAGCCTCTCACATCTGACTCCAGTGGTCCAACCTCTAACAACGCCAAGCTGGGAATACTATGGACTCTTCTTTTGCCCGGGAGAAGGTGAGGGCCACCCCTGGCCCCTGCTGTTCAGACTTAGCGCTGTCTTGGTATGCAGCTTTCAATAGTGTGGTGGCTGCTCCTTTTGCCTCCCTTACCAGGTTTCCTTGAGAGCCAAACCATGCTCTTCCTTCTTCACTTCTTGGATATGATCTGTACATTCCTTGGCACGGGGAAGTGATGAGCAAATGAATAACTCTACTGGCAGAAGTCTTACTTCCAGCCAGAACTTGTGGGCAGTCTCTCGCACCAGCTCTCCCAGCCACTCAATCCTGAGGCCGCGCAGGCTGCACCGCCTATGTTTGGGCACTCCCTTGTGCCCAGTCCCAGCATTTGTGGATTCATCTGGCAGTGCAGCTCATTACTGTATGAGTGAGGAACCTGGGGGAGTGTCGGAACTGGGACTTGCTGACTCCACTGCACCTCGTCCAACTCTCAGGAGCCTCATGAACACCTGAAGCCCAACTGGCATCAAGGCTAATTTGGGACCAGGAAGGAAAGCCCAGACTCCAGAAGATACTGAGAGCGGGAGAGCTGACCATTTGTCCTCCACGGTGGTGAGAGGCAAGGCAGCACCCAGAGTGTTGTAGGTGGGGTGATGACTAGCAGGGCTTGTAGGAACATAATGTATGCAGTTCGTGAACATGTGGGTCTTGGGGATCGAACTCAGGTCATCAGGATTGGCAGCGAGTGTCTCTTCTGTCTACACTATTTTACAGAGAAGTATTTTGAGTGGACCTGTCTGGGAGGACACCAGAAGGCTCTGACCTCAGCATAGAGGTGTTTATGGGCTCAAGGCTCTCCCCTCAAGATGGGGTTGAGGTTCCAGCTGAAGGGCAGACTGCACCAGCCCCATTGCATGATAGGGCGAATGTGGACTGCAAATAAATACTAACAACTGGGACAGGGGTCATTGGAGGGAGATGATGGTAGAGAATATCAATTGAGATCTCTTTGTAACAGTGATTGAGCTACATTTGTCATATAGTGGAGGAGGGTGGGGGAAGGGACAACGGGGATGTGGGGGTGGTGATGGCCTAATCCATTTTAGGTAGCAGGGGAGGGACACAGGCCTCTAGGCTGAGGAAAGTGGACTGCCCCAGGCCAAGGTGTGAGTTCTCACTTTCTCCATCCCCCAACCATTTTGGAGCCCAAAATGATAGGCAGAGAAGACCAAGGGTGGGGGCTGCTGTCGAGGAAAGAAACAGGTTTAGTAGGAGGCTCAGCTCCCAGTTAGAGAGTGACTAAAGTAGGAAGAACCTTTCAAAGGAAGGATTAAGGACCCAACATGTTAGAGTTCAGAAATAATCCATCCTTTTCATTGTAGAAAGCTGTTTTTCTTTCTTTCTTTCTTTCTTTCTTTCTTTCTTTCTTTCTTCCTTCCTTCCTTCCTTCCTTCCTTCCTTCCTTCCTTCCTTCCTTCCTTCCTTCCTTCCTTTCTTTCTTTCTTTCTTTCTTTCTTTCTTTCTTTCTTTCTTTCTTTCTTTCTTTCTTTTCCTGTGTATGTGGGGAGGAAAGGGTGAGTGGTGTGCATTTCGTGGCTGCAAGCTAGCAGAAATGGCCAGCTGGCCCAGCAAGCAGGCTGTAGTGCGCTTCCCCGCCCCTCCCACCATGACTCTCAAACAAAAAGGCTGGAAGGAGAGAAGCTGGCTGCTTTTCCAGAAGAGAACAGCAAACTTGCACTCACGCCTTTTAACCAGGAAGAATGCAGCAGCGAAGAGAGGGGCTGGCTCCAGAAGCCTAGTGTTTAGTGCTCTGTCCCTGGCTGCCATATGCCCTGAGCAGGTGACAACATTTCTCAGAGCATCAGTTTTTCCTTTCACAAGTCAGCCTGACCCGTTTCCTAGGACACATCTGATGCTAGTTATGTGAGCTTGCAAATCTCGGTATCTGGACCTCAGATTCCCAGTGAGTCCACAGTCACGAAATCCGTACTAAGTTCTGGCTTAAGTCTGTGGGTTTAAGAGCCACACTGACTTGCGTTTAATTCCTAGATAGTTCCACCCTTTTCCAACTCCGGGAGCCGATAGCCTGTTGTCAAGGGAGCCTTGGCTCACTCACTGAACAATAGGGCTAGTTGAGACCTATCTTACCAGGGGGCTAGAAGTGGAGGATATGCAATGACTCTCAAAGTGAAACGTCCAGCATAGTGTGGGCGTCAGAGCTAGCTCTTATTTGAGTTTTGCAGTTGTCGTCAAGAGCGGGGCCAGCAGCATTAACAAGACAAATTGTTCCTGCCCTCACACCGGCAGGGCTAATGTTAAACAAACACTTAGCTGCAGTGTCTGCTCATGAGTGAAATGATATGCTGGACTTAGATGATGCCGGAGGCTCCTCTGATCCCCATTCTAGACGGTTTGTCTTGAAAGCACATGCCTCAAGGTGAAAGTCCCCTCTCAGGGTCTGCCATCCCCTCTCAGTGTCCCTTGGGGCTGTTGGCCATCTGTGTCTGGCGGTGGAGGCTTACCTGCTTGCTTTCTTTAGGGTTGCACACCTGCAGCATTACTGAGGATCCAGGGGAGGACACTGAGGTGGAGATGGCAGCCAGGCATTTCCCCTGCTGCTGGATGAGGTGGTCGCTGAACAGCCATGCCTGTAAGACAGGGAAAGGACAGCTCCGGATGGACAGATATGGCTAGACAGGCAAACCACAGGTAGACCAGGGACTTTCCCAGGCTTTTTGCGAATAACTGTAGAAGCTAAAGGAGAGTTTCAATGTTGCTTTATGTTAGAAAATGTTCATAATCAAATATTAAGACGAGGATGCTCAGCCGGAGCCGACCAGAGGGCAGTCAAGGAGGCTCCAAGGGATGCTGGAGATAGGGAAGAATGAAGGGACATAGGACCTAGCTAGGTCCATGATAGGGTCTCCAGGACCTTCTCTAGAGCTGATGTGGGGGAGGCACGCATGCGTTAGCTACGTGCACAGAGTCCCAGAGACCGTGAGCCCATCACACACACCTGAACTGTACTCCAGCGTAGAACTGGCAGCATTTCGTCCTTGAGAAGAGGAAGTGGGAGACACAGGGCTGGAAAGGGGTGTGTGTGTGGCAGGAGCAAAGTGTGAAGAGCCCTGGGAAGGTGACGTATGGCCGTTGCAGAAAGAGTGGACAAAAAGCGCACAGAGAGAAGTCCTAACCCCACTCCTGGCCAACCCTCTTGGCTCCTGTCCTGCTCTTGGCCCTAAGCAGCGTACCTGGGCTGGTGGAGGGCTCTTGGCAGACCCTCTGCAGATCCCCATACCAAGCAGGAGGTCACCAGCTGTGTTCTGGCCCTGGGATTCTAAGCAGTTGACTCCTTGCTTAATGACACCAGGGAGCACTTCCTTCACGGGGACACTGAGGAGAAACGCAGGGTCAGGCTGCTTCTCAAGCTAACCCACCCCTTCCTCCAGGGGGCAGCACACAGTCACTGAGGTCTCTGGGACTCGAAAGCTGAGGGGGACGGTTAGGGGTATGAACAGGGTGTCAGGAGAGGGAGGAACAGCCCCAACCCCAGTAGGTTCTTTTGTTTATGTATTTGTTTTTAATTTTTATTGTATATATATGAATGCTCTGTCTTCATGTACACCTGTATGCCAGAAGAGAGCATCAGATCCCAGTATGATCCACCATGTGGTTGCTGGGAATTGAACTCAGGACATCTGGAAGAGCAGAAGGTTGTTTTTAACCGCTGAGTCAACTCTCCAGTGCCCCCAGTAGGTTCTTATGGGAGTCCCAGGGATGACCTTAGAGGTCAGCCTGAGACACAGGGGACCCTGAGAAGACACTCAGGCCTGACTCACAGGACTCCTCAGCACAGAAGCAGACACCTGGGAGCTTAAAGGTGGCCTCAACACCCAATCTCAAAATAACAGGGAAGGGGTGATTTTGGAGCGGCTAACTGAAAAAGCACAAACATGCAAAGATGTTCAGTCTCACTATGATTAAAGAATGCATTAGAGAGCAACCATTGTTTGTTTCCCACGTATTTGTCTGTGTGTGTGTGCGCTTTAAACAATGCCCAGTGTTGGCATTACCTGGGGGACCTACTCCACCAGCAAGATCATGAATTAGTTAAACTTTGGGAGAGAGCAGGGTGGAATTAAGCATCAGAATTCTTAAAATGTGCATGTCCTTGACCGAAGAATGGCAGTTTAAGGAATTTAACAACAACAAAAAAAGAGCTGGGTGTATGAAAAGACATTCGTAACAGAATGACTGATACGGAAAGCATTGAAAATTTCTGGTTGCCCAGCAACTGAGCTGGACTAAGATACATCCATAGGCTGGAAACCCTGTACCCATTACAGATGACTGTGAAAGAAAACCTGGGAACACTCAGCCTGCCTCTGAGGGAAGCTTCAAGCTATCACATTATTAAAACATCTCATGTGCCAGAAGAATGCTTAAACCCACGCACACCTGAGCACACTCATTGATAACCTCTGGGTAGCTAACTTAGGGAGGCTGCCATCCGCAGCTGACAAAGGCTCGAATACCTGGTTTTGGGGGGCTCATGAGTAATGCAGCCATCATAAGGGTTTGGGAACCATGAGTGCTCAGAACCTCACCCCGGGCCGAGGCTCCCTGCTCCTTAATGCCTCTGTCCAGAGAGAGCCTGGGCCCTGGAAGAGCATATATCTGCCATTCCTTGATCTCAGCCAAGGCAGGTCTCGGCCAAGGCAGGTCTTCCCAGGCCTGTTCAAGAGCCCATGGGAGCCAGCACTGATTTGCTCTCAGAGGGTCCCCTCACACACATTGGTGGTGGTATCCACCACTGAACTCGCCTTCAGAGCCAGAGCTGTTGTACGGGTCCAGGGCAGAAGTTGTAACTGCGGGCCCTGAGCTGAATGTGGCTGTCAGACACATTCCGCCTGCTCCACAGAGAGAGGTTACCGCTGCTTTTCATCAGCTGGCAATTTTAAAAAGAGGGGGCTGGCACGATGGCTGGGTAGGTAAAGGCACTTGCCACTAAGCCTGACAACCAGACTTCAATCCCGGGGACCCACGTGGTAGAAAGAGAGAACTGACCTTCTGCAGCTTGTCCAAGTCCCCACCCACATTCAATAAATTAATTAAAATGTGATTAGAATATATTTAAAAGCCTAAGGATGCTCAGTTGGTGAAATGTCTGCCGCCCGGAAGCAGCAAAGACATGAGTTCAGATCACAGCACCCATGCAAAAGCAGGTATGGTCACTTGTACGTGAGACTCTAGTGGGTGGAGACAGGCAGATTCTGTATGTAGCTAGACAATCCAGTCAACTGGTGGACCCCGAGTTCAGTGAAAGATCCTGACTCAAGAGATGAGGTAGAGCATAACAGTGGAGGACACCAGCTCTGGACTCTCTCTTCTACCCCCTTAGTTCCCCCCCCACCCCTCATTTTTTAAAAAATGGGGAGATCAGGCCCTCTGAGCTGGCGCTCCAGTGACACTCACTCCAGTGACAGCTGTCCTGGGGAGCAGCTGTCTTCCCCACTGCTCACCCCATCCTGTGACTTGCCTCTCTCCATCCCATTCCTTGCTCCTCTGACTGACAGAAGCAGCTGAGCTTGCAATTCCTACCAGGAAAAGCGTCACCATCCCTGCTGTGTCTGTTTCCCTCTCTGCCCAAGCGGCCTTCCAGGGGGCCTTTGAGAATGGAGAATTGTGTACTGTGGGGAATGCTTCAAGCAGTGCAGGGTTATTCTGATTCCCCCCCCCCATTGCTCTTCGGTCCCACCCCCTATTCTTAGTGGCATATGCCAGCTGGATCAAGCTGCCAGAGGGGACGCAGGCCCGGTGGGGACTCCCCAGTGATGCTCCTGTCCGGCAGCTCCGTCAAGAGCAGAGGCAGCTTCCATGATGTGTCGCTGTGACAGCAGTCCTAGAAGGCTGAGTCCCAGGTGGCACTCACCATCATCTTCCTCAGCGGCCTGGCAGAGCAAGCCAAGCTGTCCTGTTTGTGGGCGGCCCTCTGTGCCTGCACCTGCCTCTCCCAGTAGCTCTCCTCTGAGCAGGGCTGCCATTAGACCTCACAATGCTTTCGCAGAAATAGCAGCAGCACCCACTGCTCAAGTCGCCTTACTTCCACCTACTGGAAAACTGTTACAGCGTAGTATTTTGGTTAAGAACGCTTCCTGCCATCTGCTTGAAGTTATTGTAGTGAGTCTGCAATGGCCACTATGTGACTAGCACCTTATGAAGGTGTGATGCAATCTGCATTGCTGTTTGGGACAGTCACTAATCAAAGGGATGAATTAGCAGCCGCTGAGGCCTGCTGAAGCCTGCTGAAGCTGGGCCTGGACACAGAGCAGAGCTGCGGCAGGACCACAGGCAGGCCTAGCAAGGTGGAAGCTCTTTTAGCCTTCTCAGACTTTGTGTTGACTACATGAGACATGCAGGCAATCTAAGGATCCTCCCCATGGAGGGGCATTGACATGAATCTGACCCACCCCTTCACCCTTCACGCTAGAGTGAACCAGCCAAATAGGCCGGAACCACAGAACCAACAGCAGGAGGCACATTTTCCTCACTCAACACACTTAATGCACTGCCCTATCCTAGGATAGATCCAGGTTTGGGATAGAGCACTTCTTCAGCTAGGGTGTGGAGGGGAAGGACCCATTTTTCTATCTCCCCAGTTCCTCAGCTCCTCATGCCAGCCTGGGGTCCAACATGCCATCCAAACATAGGAACCTTGACAGCGGGTAAGTCACTGCTTCTCTCTCTTCCTCAGTGTGTCAGAAGTGCCGTGTGAACGAGCGTGGGCTCCCTGCCCTTCAGCAAAATGCACAATCGCTGCACTCTCGTGAATCAGTATTCTGTGCTTCTCAGCGAGGGGCCAGAGGGCCTGAGGCTCCTTGGCCGCCAGCTTGCTTCCACGGAGGCTGGAGTCACTTGGGTTGTTGTTCAGGAATTTCTTAGATGTTTCCAGCAGTCAGTTTGGGCTTGATGCTTTTCAGGCAGGCTGTGTTTGGAACTTTGAGTTATATTATCTGGGTTCAGCATCTAGCTAATTTCCAGGGCTTGGCTGCAACCTAACAGTGGGAACTTTGCAGGCATTGGCTGTGCCCTGGGAAAAGCTGGTTTCCCTCCTTGCAGAATCTGTAGGCAGTGAGGGGTAGAGTGTCTGGGAAAGCCATGACAACATCCTTGAGAGAAAGAAGCCACAGGGGAATGAGCATGCTCCCCAGGTAACTGTCCTAAAGGATGGAAGCTAACTCCAGACACGCCCAAGCCTTGCTCGCTAGAATTTATCCACTCAAAAATGTTCATTTTAAACACCATTTGCTCAGTGTCTTGTTTTGTGATAGGGACCAGGAGACAGGCATGGACAAAACAGGTGATGGCTTCCGCCTCGGGGAGCTTCCAGGCAAGAGCAGGAGATGACATCATATTAACCAGCTAGTGTGTATGTGAGATGCTGATGTAGGCCCCAGAGGAATGTCAATTTAGTATTTGGACAAAGTGTCCCCGGGGAGAGGACAAATGAGCCCAAATTCAAAGAGGCTGAGGAAATGAACCGTGCAACCAAGACTCCAGAAAGGACTTAGATTCAGGAAGAAGGAAGCTAGGTGGACCCCTTCACAGACAGAGTGCTTTCTTGCCTTCCTCAGTTCACTTCAGAGCACAGCCCCCTGCCCCCTGCACAGACACGGGCTCATTTGCATTTTGCTTCCTCGTTGCTAGAACAAACATTTCCCTATGCCTTTTTGGTCGGTCTCTGTGATTACATACTAACGGATGCCTACTGTTTGTCTAAATGGATGTATCAGTGGTCCACTGGGCCAGCCTAAGCGTTAGCTGCCTCTCATTTTCCCAGAGCAGACTGGCTCGCATGGTCTGCGGTCAACAGCTCTGCGCTCTGATGACTTTATCTCCCTGGGATGAGCTTCCAGCAGAGAGAGAGAGAGAGGACAGGGTCAAAGAAAACGCAGCCCTATCATGCCTGCCTGGTAACTCCTAGCCTCCTCTGTTCCCTCAGAGCGAAGATGAACACGGCATCTGGGGAATGCAGACTCAGGGTAGAGCAGGTCACTGCGCCCTGGTCCCGGAAGGGGGATGCACTCACGTGAGCTCAGGGTAGACATTCTCCAGGTACCAGCGGAAGGACTTGCAGTCCAGTTTCTTCCTCTGCTCGATCCGTGTGGCCACACTGAAGTGAAAAACAAAGCTGGAGAAGGACCGAGATGGGGGGGGGGCAGCCCCCCCGAGGGGGGGGGAACCACAGAGGGCGAGCCATGAGCATCTTTCAGGCATCTGGCAGGTCGCAACCCTCTGATGTACCGTTGGGACGTGCACTTCAATCTCACCGTCCTCGGCTGTACCAACCACAGAGGCCACCATGAGGACCCCGTCCCCCCATGGCCAGCTATCTGAGTAAAGGGGGCCTCCACTGTTCACCTTGGGTTTTTGTGAAAGTCAAAGGAGCACATGGAAAGCTTAGACCAGGGCAGGTCCTCAGTAAACGTTCAAAGAAGTACTTAGTGGCTTGCCTTTCTTCTTTTTAAGGACCGATAGAAGTGAATAAGGGCACAGGGATGGCTCATTCACCATTGATCACTAACAGTGTTCTCAAACTTTTCTGACTACAAAATGAGCAAGGAGGCCAGCTTGCCTTACATCCCACGGACACACAGCTATCCGCGCACACCTCTGCACACATACACATTGAAACATGAAACAATATTTAACCACAGGTTGCAATCAACCCTGATTTTCTAGTCTGTTTGGCATTGAACTCATCTATCGTGTCTTTCTTATCCACCCCCCCCCCCTTTTTTAAAAATTGCTGATGCTCATTCACTAAATTGGTGTCATAATCCATCTGTAATTTCAAAAGGCTTAATTAGACAATGGCCATCATGGAAAAGTAGGCTGACAGATCACGGGTTTGGAAGGGCGTGGAGGCAAACCGACCTTGTCCTCTGTAGGCAACCGTGTCGTAACTACTACCTCAGACGCCGCTCTTCCGGAAGGCAGCTTTGAATGGGCTACACTTTCAACTCTCATGGAGAAACTTCTCTTCTTATCTGTCTCTAGGAAGTATGGAGGACCAGGGTCTTGTCTACCCATCCCACTCCTTCCCAGAGCCCAGAGAATCAAGACGAGCCAGGACTTTGTTACTAGGGAGACTGAGTATGCGCCTATTTCATATTTGCTGTGCTGTGCAAACATGCGTGGAGGGAGGCGGCCACGGGATTTGGAGGGACGCACCTGCCAAAGGCCTTCCCGATGGCCGAGGGCCGGGCCTCATAGTAGTATTGCTTGTATTCATCCATCCACACCTCCGCGGTACGCTTTGTATTCCTGAAAGCAGAGAAAGAGCAAAACCAAGTCAGCAGAGAGCGGGAAGAGTCAAGGGAGGGTCGGTGTGAGTTCTTACAGTTGGAAATGTGGTGCTGGGGCCTCATGTCTGCAGGGCAGCCACAAAGCCACTGAGCTCGAACCACAGACCTCTTTTACTCTCACTGAGATTTGGTCTCAAGAACCTACCTAGGCTGGTCTTGAAATCACTCCGTAGCTCTTGTTGGCCTTAAAACTTCAATCCTCCCGCCTTAGCCTTTGAAGTGGCTGAGGCTACAGGCCTGTACTCTCAGGCCTGGCTGTCTGTCAATTAACAATATACACTTAACATGAAGATGATCTCTTTGTGGTAGGGAGCAGTAAGAAATCCCAGCAGTACGGGCAAAACAATACTGGCGGGAGTGAGAGAATCAGCACCATCTGTCTGGATAAGGTCTGTCAGGACCCGTGACAGGCTCTCCACTCAAGGCAATCTGTTCTATTGAAAGACTTGATATGCGGGCAAAAGGGACACACACGAGAAGAGTTGCTTAGCAAGACACTGGCAGCAACATAGATGCTCTTCAACGGGAATATATTTCCATACACTGGAGAGTGAGGCAGCCTTGAAAAACAGACCATGGCTAGCAATGCGGACAAGGGCGGACGGCAGTGATACAGTGCCAGAGAGCCATGCCCTGGAAGTGCGCATGACAGCAAGCTGCTAACACACACCTGCGGAGGATGGCAGGTCTCTATATACCAACTACAGACAAGAATGTACCTAAGGGTCTCACAGGGTAGACCAGCAGCGTGCTAAGAACAAGTACTTCTGTCCGAAGGCCTTAACGCAATAGCTGCTTTTGAAAAGACGAGTGGGCAACTGGGAGAGAGAATGAGTAGAGATGACTTATTTTAATAATTATTGCAAACATGTTTTGTACATGTCATCTGCATATAAAATTCGGTGTTGGTTTTGCCTGTGTGTTTGCGGTAAATATATATGACTTTTACAGAGGGCTTGGGCTCAGTTCCCAGCACCCACAGTGTGGCTCATAACTAACTAACTGTAACGATTTCCAGGGGATTCTGGCACTTTTCTGGCCTCCTCAAGCACCAGAAATGCACATGGCGCCCATACATACATACATACAACTAAAAATAAAGAAATCATTTTTTTTTTAAATGGGGTGTGAGAAGTCAAGCAATATTTTAGACCATTACTAGTTAGATGTGGAAAACATTGCTTCAACCTATACAAACCAGCATGGCTAGATGAGGGGAAGACATGCCCTTAGCAGGACAGGATGCATACTCAGGACAGCTCCCGCTCCCCCAACTCCTCCATCAGGACCAATGGGTCATCGGACGGTCTTCCAGGACACTGTTCATTCTCCTGTGAGACCAAGTGTACCCTGTGGCTTGGAATGTACATGGCTGGGTGCCAGGCCAAGTCAATGTGAGGGCAGTGGCAGCCATGACCAACCACTAAGGTTCAAGGAATAAGGACAGTGATATACTGGTCACTTGGCCATTTGTCTAAGACTTGTGAAGAAAGGAACTCAAGACAAGAGAGACTTAGGGACAATGCTCCAATTTCATCCTCTACCCTCAGAAATACCTGGAGTGTCAGACCTAGAGGGTGGCAAATGGAAAATGGCACATGCATGGTGAGTGACTAATTGGGGGTGTCTAGAGTGAGGAGATCCCATGCTTCCTCCAGGGTGTTCCCCACTGGGACCTACCTGATATAGGTGAGGGCGTTGCCCTCCGGGAAGTTGTAGGGATGCCGCTTCCTGAAGACATGGCCTACCCGGCTGCAGGGCACAATCTCCAAGCTGCCACCGCACATCCATACCCTGAAGGAGAGTTCTGCAGGAGATGACAGTCCCAGGTGAGGTGGGAAGGAGGAAAGGGGACAGGTGTCTTTCTCTTTGGTGTCTCCTTGAAGGTACATGCTGGGGTATGAGCTCTTGTGCTAGATAGAATGGGGCATTTGCTTATACAAGCTCACAACATGCATTCATACATCCATGTACACATATATGACAGACACACATTCAAATACATACACACATGTACACACACAGACACACACACATTAACACAGCTGCTCTGGCTAGCCAGTTTGCTCCGGGGATCCCATCTCAGCCTTTCAAGGACTGAAATTACATGTAGGCCATCACATCCACTTGGCATTTATGTGGGTTTTGGCGATTTCAACTCTGGTCCTCACAGATGTGTGGCAAACACTTTGAGCACGCCCTCGCCCAAGCCACACTTGAGTGTGGCATCTCTTATGCATCATGGATTGTTCTAGATTCTCTTGTGTGTGTGTGGGGGGGGGGGCAAAACTCAAAAGTGGGAAACAAGAACTATAAGTAAACAAGAATATGTGAAAACACGTAGCATACGGGAGGGTGATAAATGAGAGGGAGAAAAATGCAGCCGGGGGGCGTGGGGCTGAGTGGGGCAGTGGAGTTGGGGGGGGATGATGCTGCATTTTTTAATTAGGATTATTCAAAACTTTTCCTTTTCTTATTATTTCATTTTGTATGTGTAGGGGTGTCTTGCCTGCATGTATGTCCATGTACCAGATGCTCAAAGAAGCCAGAAGGTGGTGTTGGACTGCCTGGAACTGGTGCATGGGTGCTGGGAATTGAACCCAGATCCTCTAGAAGAGTACTCAATGTTCTTAACCACTGAGCCATCTCTCCAGGCCCTCATTTGAGCAGAGATCTGAAACAGGTCCTGAAACTCTCAGGGGAAGAATTTTCCAGAAGGGCATGAACCCAGAGGTACAGGCACGGCTTTGGCGTTCTGGGCAACAAAGGTGTTGTTGACTGAGGCAGGACCTAAAGAGTGGGAATGAGGGTGGAGTTCAGGCATGGGTTTCGGTGAAGAACCCAGGAGCTAGCAGGAGGCCTCTGGGTGTCGATGAGAAGGACAAGGGAAGTCTTTGCAGAGTCTGAGCAGAGGAAGAAACCCTAAGGTAACTTTCAAGATTTTCACATCTGTCAGCCTCACCCCAGGTGGCTTCTGAGCTCCAGAGTGTGTCGCAGGGGACACAAGAGCATGGCTCAGTTTGGGTGGCTCCTGCCTTTCAACAAAGGGATAAATAAAAAGCTCAAAGCCATCAGAGACAGGCGTCTCGGGGCTCAAAATTGGCCCAGCATCTGACCCTCTGAGGGCCACAGCCAGCCTAGACACTTCTTTGAATTTCTTCTGAGGGACTGAACCCTGGCCAGAACATCTCCCAGCTCTGCCTTTCAAGTTCCCCAGCCCCGGAGCTCTCGCCTCAGGCAGAGTTTGAAGTGAGCTATTTGATCATTCACTGGTTTCCCTGTCAGTTCCCAGCCCGGGGGAAAAAAAAAACAAAAAACAAACAAAAAAAAAAAAAACAGAGAAAGAGGAAGGGAGAAAACACGTCTGCAGGCAGGCAGACAGGCTGGGCCTTTCCCAGCCTGCTGGGCCTGTTGCCTCGGCTTCACAGCAAACCTGTTTTGCCAAAGCTGCCTTCAGGCTGAGATCGGGACACAAAGCAGGTCAGTAGGACTCCAAACACATGAAATGGGATGAGGATTCAAGGGTCACCGTGCTCCAGCTCACAGAATTTACTCCTGCGGGCGCTGCCTGTACACTTTGAGAATAATCTGTGCCTGTTCCCACCTGGGTAGGTAGCCGCTCTGCACACCCCGTTTTCCTGGTGAGGGCCGAGAGGACAAGACCGCTACCCCTAACACCTCACACAGCCTCATGACCCCTCAGGGGCTCTGCTGTGAACCTTTGTCACACACTTTCTGACATTCTGACAGATAATACAGCACCGTTATCTGTGTCCTAGTGTCACTGGGGTGGCAGGCCACCAGCCCCACCTGCTACTACTCCAGAAACCTGGGCAGGTGGAAAAGGAGACTATGAGAGCAGCTTTGACAGCTGAATTTGACCAGAGAATTCCCTTGCTCCTGAGGACCCTGGGATAGCTCTCTACCCTGCCTGGTTTCTTCTCTGGGAGCCCTAGTGCTTGGTAGTGCCCTGTAGCGCTCCAGGTTGAACCGGCAGGAGGCAGCAGCTGATAGAGGTTGGTGAGGGGTGACACCTCCACACACCCATGAGAACACAGTGCCTGCCAAGGGGTGTCTGCTTCCGCATCTTTCAGACCTCCAAGCTGTTGGCTGTGGCTCCCTGTGGCCACGGCACCATGGAGGACTCTGCTGGCTAGTCTTCATATCTGGACCACCTTGTGTGTGAGTCCGAAGTGAACAGCCATGCGGGGGGGGCTGCGTTTGCACCCTGATATACACAGTTTCGTGCCTATTTTACCAGTGTCCTGGGAAGCCGGACTCTTTCCTTGTTTTTCTTTTTTCCAAGTAAACAAGCTGGTCCCCGACGGTGACTTCTTCTCTCAGTGGCCCAGACCTCCTACGCAGGAGCCTGGGCTCTGTTCTCACATAGTGATAACTCCGAGGCGCTCCGGGGCAGCAGAGCCAGCTACTCCCTCTCTTGTCCTGTTCCATCTCCCTCTTGCTGTTCCAGGCAGCCCAGGATTTCCCACCCTCATGGTGCTGATGGTCTAACACACACACGGTGATAATGGCCATAGCTTCATTCACTACTCAAATCAGGCTCTGGAGGAAACTGAGTCCCAAAGAGGCTTCAATTGCCCCAAATCAAAATTTAGCCTAAAGAAGCCAAGCCAGGGCTTGCCCCCAGGCTTCTGACTGTCTGTTCCATGTGATCATGTGCCCTGTTGTATACCTTCCTATCTGTTCTAGTAGAGAAACTGACACGTAGTCAAGACGTGTTTCTACACACACGTGTCTAGCCATTTGGCCACAAGCTCTCCCTGGATACTTAAACTTTTCTGTCTAGCTGAGCGGATCTGAACAAATTGCCCTCTGTGCCTGTTTTTTAATCAGTAAAATGGAGACAGTTACACCAGGGGGTCCTTATGATGATTAAATGACTCAGCGAGTGTCACATCTTTAAGACCAGGGTCTCAGGTACAGACTGTGCTCCGTCTGAGCTTTGAGTATTACTCTTGTGTATTTACTATTATTTTTTTATTGACTCACCAAAATTCTCTCCTCCCCAAATGTCCATCTGGGCATCATACTTCCCCAAGTGGTTAAACCAGGACTTGTCAATCACAAAGATCCCTCCAGCTATGACGGGTGTCCTTTAGGAAACAGACAGCAAAAGCGCAACCGTGAAATGTGGAAACCAGGAGCCTCTGTTCCAGCCTCAAGTTGGCCAAATCCCAGGACCTTGACAATTGCTCCCACGGTCTCAGTCCTCTGTCTCTACAGTTAGGTCTACGGGCTCAGACATAGTCAGTACCTTGACTGGGCACCCTCCCAAGAGCCCCCAGGCCCCTGACCCAGGAAGGAGGGCTCCCCAGAGGGCACAGCAGCCTGACCTGATGGGCTTGGTGGGGTCTGTCCGGGTCATCTTCTGCTCCAGCGGGATCTGCTCCCACTTGAAATGCAGACTCCAGTCAAATCCTGCAGGCAAAGCAGGGTGAGAGTGGGCTTGGGCTTTGGGCCTTTTTCTCTACCCTTCAGTCTCTTCTGATCAGAACAGGGTGGTGAAAGCTGCTATTCTGACCCTCGCACGGAGACATGTGCCTACCTCCCCGGCTGCCAACCTACAGAGAAGACCAATGCTAAAAAGCCTATGATGTGTCCACAGAGACCTGCAGTGCTGAAAAAACGAAAGATGAGGCGTCCGCATCGTAAGAGTCAGCAAGGCTCACCCGCAGGTTGCTTTTTGAGTAGAGATCTGAATGAAGGATAAAATAATCTATAGACATAGGGGAAAGGGAAGTTTAGACTGGGGCAGCAGCAGGTGGGTGGTGGCTTGAACCAGAATGACTTCCCTAGGCTTATGTATTTGAATGGTTGGTCCCCAGATGGAACTGTTTTGGAAGGCCTAGTAGGTGTGGCCTTGTTGGAAGAAGGATGTCACTGGGCTTTGAGGTTTTAAAAGCCCATGCCAGGCCCAGTTAGCTACCTCTGCCTCTTGCTTGTGGATCATGTGTAAGCTCTCAGCTACTGTTCCAGCACCGAGCCAGCCTGCCTGCCGCCATGTTTTCCACCATGATGGTCATGGACTCATCCTCTAGAACGGTGAACCTCAAGTTAAATGCTTTCTTTTATAAGCTTCCTTGGCTATAGTGTTTTGTCACAGAAATAGAAAGTAACCAAGACAGAGTACAAAGGCGCTGAGGTGACCTCTCTGAGGGGAAATGGCTGGCCTCCCTGGAGTCTTACCCAGCTCCAAGCTCTAACTCCTGACTGGGTCCACATAGTGGGCATCCAAGCCCTAAAGAAGAACCACCTCCACATCTGCTAGCTCCCAGTAACAGACCCTAGAGCAGCACCATCTAACAGAACTTCCTGTAATGACAGACATATTTTATATCTATATGGCTCAGTGGGGTCACCAAAACCTCGTGCGGCTGCCAAAACCTCATATGGATTAAGCACTTGAAATGTAGCCAGGACAACTAAGAAATTTAATTGTAAATCTTATTTCATTTTAATTAATTTAAAGAGCCACACATGGCTACTGTCATCTGGACTAGGCAGCCCAATGCCAGGGTCCACAGCTGCCCGAAAGGATAATAAAGCAAGACCCCAACTCAAGCCACATCCACCATCCGAAACAGTCCAGAAGGGGCTAGAGCAGTGACTCTCAACCTTCCTAATCCTGTGACCCTTTAATACAGTTCCTCACGTTGAGGTAACCTCCAACCGTAAAATTATTTCATTGCTACTTCTTTGCTACTGTTGTGAATCATGACGTAAATATTTGATATGCAAAACTCTGTGACCCCCCCCCCCAAGGGTCTTGATCCACAGGTTGAAAAGCACTGGGCTAGACAGATTGCTCAGCAAATAGAAGCGTTTGAGGCTCTTTGGAGAAGCCAGGTTCCTTCCCAGAATGTCCTTGGGTGGTTCACAATCATCTGTAACTCCAGTTTCAGGGGATCGGATGCCCTCTTCTGGCCTCTGTGGACATGCATGTACATGGCGCACATACATATACATAAAGTGTAAATTAATTAATTAATATCTAAAAAAACCAGTCCAGGAGTTACATGGAAAGAAAAAAAAATCAACAGGTCAATTTGAATAAAACAGTCTTAGTGCAGTCTGTCTAAAACATTTCAGCATCCAATCGATACGAAACACAAACGAGATAGTGGACCACACTAATCCTAACCACTGCTGTAGGTTTAATATACTTAACAGCCCATAGCAAATCTGACTAGCTGCTTTTCAGGGCTCATTGGCAAATGTGCTGAGTAGCTGTTGTGACTGCCCCCGGGATGTGTGTTAAGAATTCAGGTGAGAACACAGGCTGCTGCTCTCTTCCTGTCCGTACAGCGTCTGCTCTCCAGAAGACGTCCCCTGGGCCTTTGGCTAAGCTCCCTAGGCCAGCAGCACTGGGGAGAGATGAGCCCATGATGAGGGGAGGAAAAGATGAATGACTAGCTGGCCCCACCCCAGACTGTATGAAGCGCTTACAGCCCAGGGCTCTCCTTGTCCCTCCTCAGGTTCGCCTCTGAAGGAAGGATTGGCAGTGTGAACTCGGGAGAGCACTTGAACCAGGGCTTTCACCCTTCTCTTTTCAAGCCCAGAGGCCCTTTCTGAGGAGCGGGACTCACCTCCTCGGAGATCGGCAGATGCTGCAAGGTAGGCGAAATTGTCTAGGCTGATGACGTCGATGATGGGGCTCACCACACGGGTGTGGTCCTAGAAGAGGAGAGTGAGAAGGCGTGAGGTGAGGGACATCTACACAGAGAGGCCAAGCGGCCTGCTCTGCAGAGGGGCCTCTGGAACATGAAGTAGCATGGCTTCCTCATCTCCTGGAAAACCCCAGGGGCTGGACTAGATTACCACACATGCCCAGCGCCAGGCGAAGCCCCACTCCCCCCCAAGCCTCTTTCTCTAACGCAATTTTGAGCCCTTCTGGGATCTCACCCGTTCTGGGATGCCCTCCCTGACTGCTGCAGGATGTCTCTCTCTCACCCTCATGGTCTACAGACAGTTCTGGAACAGCAACTCAGCTGTGCAGCCATGGCACAGGCTGGCTCTCCCGCTGCAGGTTTGAGCTGCTCTGTCCATTGCTGTTCACCTCTCTGCCATCCAGAGTCAAGTCTCTTCGAATGGGCACCAAGAGTGTAGGGCCAGGGACTTTTATGGTTCTACTTTCAAGTCATCTCCCAGAACACAAATCCAATTTCAAAACATCGGTGCATAATACAAATCTTCCTGATTTCTTGAGTGGAGGTAAGTCATGTACACCCAGGAAAACCTAACCACACTGGGTAGGCCCTTTTAACACCACACGGAGGGGCACAGACTACAGCCTCTTTCCTTTCTCTTTTCCCTGCACTCCGTTTTCAACTCAAATGCCCTCTTAACTGAACCAGATGGGATAGCACACACGTGTTTACTCCAGCACTCAGAAGGCCGAGGCGGAAGGATGGTATGTCTAAGGCCAACCCAGGCCGCACAGGGAGACAACAATGATAAAACCAATCTTTAAAAATGTTTTCATTACATCTGTTTTTATCTCTCCCCCAACCAACCTATCTATCTATTTACATGCATGCACCAGCATGCCACAGTATGCATGTAGAGGCCCACAACTTGCTGAAGTCAGTTCTCTTCATTTACCATGTGGGTCCCAGGAATCGAACTCAAGACCTCGGGCTTGGTGGCAAGCACCTTTACCCACTGGCTTCCAAGTCCCTCTGTGCTAAGTTGGAAACACTTCAAATTCCCACATGGCTCAGGTATTCAAAGGCTGGATGGTGGCCCAGCAGGGAATCAGGCTGTAGCTTTTCTCTGCTCCCTACGGAATCAGCTTCTCCCTGTTCATAGAGTCTTTCAATGACATAGAATTAAAATGCTACAAGATTGATATTTTGTATTTAAAAGTACAATGCAGAGGATGTCTATGTTCACACAGTGGACTAACCATCATCATCTAAAATGGAACACTTTATCACCACCCCTCCCTCACACACAGACACAAAGAAACTAATTCAAAGAAACTAACTTTCTTTGTCTACAGATTTTCTAACTGTGGACCTGGCCTACAGATGGGCCTTCTTGACTCTTGACGCTTTCTTTCACCTCACAGGTTTTCTTTTCTTTTTTTATAGTTGGGGGGGGGGAGGAAGAAGTCTTTTTTAAAAATATATATTAGTTTCAGTGTATTCACTTTGTATCCCAGCTGTAGCCACTCCCTCACTCCCTCCCAACCCCACCCTCCCTCCTTCATCTCCTCCCTGCCCTTCTCTAAGTCCATGGATGGGGGAGTCCTCCTGCCCTTCCATCTGATCCTAGCTTATCTTCAGGACTGGCTGTCATGTCCTCCTCTGTGGCCTAGCAAGGCTGCTCCTCCCACAGGGGGTGGGGAGGTCAAAGATCCAGCCATTGAGTGTCTCATGTCAGAGACGCTCCCTGTTCCCCTAACTAGGGAACCCACTTGGATACTGAGCTGCCATGGGCTACATCCCAGCAGGGGTTCTAGGTTATCTCCATGCATGGTTCTTGGTTGGAGAAACAGTCTCAGAAAAGACCCCTGTGCCCAGATATATTTGGGCCTTAATATACATTGTAACACATATCAGGACCTTTTTTCTTGGTTGTGTAATAGTCTACCATATGGACATACCACAGCCTTTTGGTATTTTACATGCAGTGGCCCTGAACACATGTGTAGTTTTTGTGTGGACATGGTTCTTATTTTTCCTTCCCCAGGGTCCAGATCTGTCAGGGAGACTGCTGGGTCACACGGGTAGTTCTATTTAAACTTTAGGGGATTGCCAGACTATCCTCCACAGATTCTGCATTATTTGCCACTCCCACCAGCAATGTGCGAGGTTCCGATGTACGAACATTCTGCCAGCGCCTGTAATTGTCTCTTTGATTATGACCATCCTTGTAGATAACACAACCCTAACCCAGTAGGGCTTTAGAGTTGCATTTCCTGAATGATGACCTGATGAGCTACTTTTTTTACTTTTTCTTCGAGGCAGGGTTTCTCTGTGTAGCCCTGGCTTCCCCGGACAAGGTTTGTAGACCAGGCTGGCCTCAAATTCACAGAGATCCACCTGTCTCTGCCTCCCAAGTGCTGGGATTAAAAGTGTGTGCCAGCATGCCCAGTGGTGAGCTAATTTTTGTGCGTGTGTGTCCATGGGTAAATCTTCTTTAAACAAATGCTCATTCAAATTCTTTGCTTGTTTTTAAAAATTGGGCTGTTTTTCTTCTCTTTCTCTGCTTCCCCTTCCTCCTCGTGTTCCCCTCTCCTTCCTTCTCCCTCTTCTTCCTTTCACTATAGAACCCAGGTTGGTCTGGACTCAGGACCCTCCTGCCAAGTATTAGGATTACAGACACGCACCCCTCCACCCAGCTGGGGCTAGCTGCCTTCTTATGGTTGAGTTGTAATTACCTCATCCTTTCCTGCCATCCCACACTGAGGAACAGCAGTCACACAGCAGGAGCCTCCTGCTCCCTCCTCTCCTTTCTTGGAGAGCTTCCATCCTGCTTTCCAGACTGACCACAAACTCCCCCAGCCCAGGACTGCTGTGCACCCATCACAGGGCGAGCTTCCCAGCTCGCCGAACTTCCATGCAATGTGATTCTCTCACCCCAAGGGGGACACACGTGACAATTATCCCAGTTTTGGGTGTGACAGCTGGCTGGGTGGGGTCTGTCAGGGAAACAGACCCTGAGGCTTCCTACAGTTCCAGCCTCCTGAGGGCTGGGAGCACTGAGGGCATCTCCTGAGGGGGTCCCGCTCCCACAGACAGGTGGCTCACCTCCATCACCCGCTGCAGCATTGGCTGCAGCCACTCCACGTTCACCTCGCAGTGACTATCCAGAAAGGTGAGAACTGTGGCTCCTGCCACATCTGCCCCTCGAACCCGGGACCGTATCAGTCCTGCCAAGGGAAAGGAAAGGGCTGAGCCAACAGCCTGTCAGTGTCCCCGCAAAGTCCCCAGGCCCTTACTGCTTCAGGGTTTGAGGTCTCTTGAGCTATCATGGCTGGCCTGCTCTTTGTGCCTCCTTTTCTTCCCTCCCTCCTTGTCTCCTTCACCTTCATGGTCTCACAGGGTCATTCCCCAAGAGCCTTTGATGCCCTTGATACAGATGGGCAGTCAAGCTGAGTGAGCGGAACTGTAGTTTGGTACTGACAGACCAGATGACAAAAACCTATCCCTTTGAGGACCTTCACAATTCCCTCCAGCTGTACAACCAGATGTGAGAGAATCTTGACTGAGTGGGGCTTGGGTTTGGATGCCAGCCCTTCACTTCCCTTGACTATGTTGTTAAATCTCTCTGAGCCTCAGACAGTTCCTTCCTTCCTTCCTTCCTTCCTTCCTTCCTTCCTTCCTTCCTTCCCACCCTCCTTCCTCCCTTTCCTTTCTGCAGTCCTTGAGATCAGGCACAGGGGTTTGTACATGCTAGGCAAGTACTCTTCCACTGAGCTACATTCTCATCAGTTTCTTACCTAGATGCTTGAAAACACCGTGACCCAGAATGTCACATCAAACAGTACCACAAAGAGAGAGCCTGGCGCCCGGGAACCCATGCTTAGGTCCTCCTGTCGGCTTGCTCCACTTCCTGATGACGTCACTAACTGCTCACTAACTGGCTTTGCTGACAGCCATTCTGCTGAGGGCTGGGGGAAACCTGTCTGTCAGGAATCAGAGGCCCAGATGGTTCTGCCTAGGCCAGAGCAACCACTGTGTCCTGTGAGGAGTGGGAAGGGAGGGGCATAATGGGGAAAGCATGTGGCCATAACTTTTCATCCATGTTGGCAAAACCCTAGGATGACACATTCCCAAGCCTGACAGGCCCTGCTATACAGAGGCTGGAGAGACATTTCCCTTTGGCCTCTTCCATGACTGTGTAAAGATTTCATTCACCAATATCCTCATGTCTCCTAGGCTTAAACGGCCTTTCTTATATAATGTCTATATTATATAATATCATATGTAATATTACATAATTTCCATGTAATATTATATAATATCTTATATAATATCACATATTTCTCCCACTCTAAAGCCTTCTGTGGCTTCCTGCTTCTCTACCTTTTGGGGTCTGCTTTCTTCTCAAGCCCCACCAGTCTGCTGCCCCTGCTGGCCAGGCTTGGAAGGAAGGAAGACTATCGCAGGAAGGAAGACTACACAGAGAGGGACTAAAAAACTGGCCTCTGAGTCTGTCTCTCAGGCTGGAGTCCTGGCTCCTCTATTCGCTACCTTTGGAAACTTACAGAACCTCCTGATACCTCGGTTCTCTGTGGGCAGAATGGGAGCAATGGCTGACAGGACCAAGTATGAGAATGTCAGCAGAGCCAATCAATGCCTGCCACAGCCCTCTAGGGAAGAGGAGCCACCAGCACCAATGTCCACCTGTCAGCTCCTGCCTTTGACTGCAGTGGGCTCGGGCTGCCATGCCCTCCCTTGCTCTCCATCACCTGAGACACAAGGTGTCTGCTACTCCCGCCCCCCACTGAGGCCCACTCCTCCACAGAAGTCCTTCCTGCTCACCCCATCCCCTCTCCTCCATCTTCACACTCTTCACAGAACCTTTAATCTGCCTGTGGTGAGGGTCATTCTGACCCCCTTGGGTACAGATTCCTAGGACCGGAACTGTGCTTGGGACTTTTCTTGTGTCCCCAACATGTCTGGACACTATACTGTGCTATCACTGATGTTCCAAAAACACCCCTTGATTGGCCACACCTTTCTCCTTCCCTTTGGTTTTTCGAGGGGCCTTCCATCACAAGGCTCTTGTTCATCCTTAGAGCAGCCTCGTGAGGCAGAAGAGTGCCGGCACTGTCCCACTTCTCAGAAGACACAGCAAGGTAGGCAGGCAGTACCCGGCCGGAGTGGGGAGGTGAGAGGGTCACACGCCACAGATCCAAGGTAGGGACAGATGCAGCACTCACCTTCCCGCTTGTCATTGCGCAGGCACTTGACCTTGGGAATCCTGGTCAGAAGCAGACAGTCTTCAGCTGAGGGCAAAGGAGAGGAAAGCAAGCTCAATTCAGATGTGGGCATCAGAGCTTACTGGCTGTCATGGCTGAAGGATAGCCCTGTCCCCACTCCTGGGCCAGGGGAGGAATACTAGTGCCTATGAACCCAACTCTAGCCTAGGGGGCACCAGAGAGCCCTGCAGTATTTAAAGGGACTATTCTATGTCAGTTGTAAGTGTGAAGGTTGCTGTGGATATTGGGGTGTGTGTGTGTGTGTGTGTGTGTGTGTGTGTGTGTGTCTGCGAGTGTGCTTGCCTGTGTCTATAGGCACGGAGGCCAGAGGTCAACCGCAGGTGTCTTTCTCTTTATCCTTTACCTCTTTGCCTTATTTTCTGAGACAGGCTCTCTCTGCACGTAGAGCTCACAGTTTTGGTAAGACGGCCTGGCCAGTGAGGCACCCACTGTCCACCCGCCTCACTCCGCCAGCACTTTTTCCATGGCTGCTGGATATCTAAATCCAGGTCTCCATGCATGAACACAGGCACCTTATCTACCGAGGTATCTCCTCCTCGTTGTGGAAGGTCATGATGATGCTAGTGGCTGGAGGTCTGAGGAATAGGACAAGGACCAGCAACTGAGAAGAGGACGGGGAGTCAGAGGCGAGCTTGGGCAGCTCAGCGCTTTGGAACATCAGTGGTAGGCAACTCCTTGTTCAGTTTTTTTGCTTGTTTTTAATTTATTATTTATATTACTAGACTATCCTGCCCACACGTACGCCTGCACACCAGAAGAGGGCACCAGATCTCATTATGATGGTATGAGTCACCGTGTGGTTGTTAGGAATTGAACTCAGGACCTTTGGAGGAACAGCCTGTGCTCTTAACCTCCGAGCCAGGATAGGGAAGGATCCCAGAAAAGACCAAAGATTCCCCACTTGACAGAGGCTAGTGTACGAAGGCCAGGATGGCTGCAGAGAGCTCATCTCGGGACTTGGGGGAACGGTTAGAGCAGGGCATGGAGGGGCACGCCGAGAGGAGGATGCGTACTTACGATCTGAACTGAAGTCATCCACTAAGATGATCTCCTGGATCAAGCTGGCAGGAGTTCGGTTCAGAACGCTGGAGCGGCAGTGGGGACAGAAAGTGCGCCTGCAGTCAGCCTTTCTTACCCATCCCTGTCAAAGCCTCTCTTGCCACGGAGGCTCCTGCTACTCTCCCGCACACCCACCGAGGTTGGGAGGGGTGCCTGTCTTTCTCTGGGAAAGGATACCCAAGCCAGACATGTCCCTGGGCTTTCCTTTCCCAGTCCCATTTGAAATGGAATGAAGGCAGGAGGGGCGTGTCTCTCTGACAGGCTGACAGGCGCCTGCTGTGTGGATCGCTCCCTCTCTCCCTCTACTCAAGAATGGGCTGCATGTCTACCCTCCTTTGACCTCGGGTTTGACGGCTTTTGACTTCTTGGGTCTTCTAGAATACTTGACGGGTCTAGCTTCTCAGAAGGACAGACTTGACCCTGCCAATGCTCGCTGGTTTCCCCACTGTCTGAACACTATCCCTACACCAAGGTCCTGTCTAGTCAGAAACCCCACAGGCCACCCGAGACCTCAGGGGACAGAGCCACCGAGATGATAGGCCACGGGAGGAAGGGCTTACCTCTTCACTGTGCGCAGGAGTGTGGAGCGAGCCTCATTGTGGAAGGTGATGATGACGCTGGTGGCTGGCAGGTCCAAGGAATAGGACAAGGATGGGCAACTGAGAAGAGGACGAGGAGTCAGAGGTGAGCAGTGGGGGCGTGCTTGGGCGGCGCTGTGCTTTTCTTTTCTTTTTAGAGACAGGGTTTCTCTGTGTGGCCTTGGCTGTCCTGGACTCACTTTGTAGACCAAGCTAGCTTCGAACTCACAGAGATCAGCCTGCCTCTGCCTCCCCGAGTGCTGGGATCACAGCCATGCTTTTCTATATCCACTTTGCTGTGCCCTGGGACAGCTCTGTGAGGCAGACGGTACCCTCGAAGCGAGGATATAGCAACCTCCCACAATGTGATACTCCATCCCACAACACCCACATGCTGCCCGGCCTGGGGTCCAGGAAGGAAGCAGCAGATTGAGGAATCGTCCTAAGCCTGGGGGTTCCTTGCCAAAGGCCAAAAGTACCAGAGCACATATGCACTGCCTTCTGGGAGGTTTAGGCTCTGTGTATAGGCTTCAGGATACAGCCAGGAGCCAAACAGCAATGCTACTGCTGGGGCAGACCAGTGGGACAAGTGGTTGGAGTGAGAAAACGACCTTCCTTTTTGCCTTCTCACACCCTGATGCCTTTTCCTCCCTGTCTCCCAGCTCTGGTGGGATCTGGCCAGAAATTCCTCCCACTCTGCCTGCAGGGTGGGAGTGGGAGTGGAGGGACTTCCCTCCCACTCTCTGCCGCGCCAACAGCCCTGCAAGAGCCATCAGGCGGGGGTGGTGGGGGGACTGCAGGATAGCAGCTTCCCAGAAGACACCAAGGGCAGCCCCTGCCGCTGTTCCCTCCTCCACAGCCCTGGGCTCCCCCCACCTACACTCTCCTACCTTGGGACCCCTGACTGTCTCTCTCCTCAGCAAGAGGAATTAAAACCTTCATTCCTGTCGGCCTTCCTCACTATCACTGGGGCTCCAAACCGCTGGAAGGCAGCCGCCTCCGCTGGTTTTCCTAAGCGATGCTCTTTATTACAATCGCTCCAGACTACTCCAGCAATGACTATTTTTTTCATTACCGCGTTCACTCCACTGACAGCAGCTTGCAGCCTGAATTCTCATCTCCTGCCTGGCAGAGAGGCCGGGTCAGGCAGGCAGGGAGTCCCACTAGCATAAGACCCCAGGGAGAAATCCCGAGAAGCTTTAAAATATTTCTCCTTGAGGGAGCTGTGGGGGAAGGGCTCTCTTCTACTCCCAGAAGCCAAGCTTCCAAGCGCCTGCTCCCCAAGGGACAGGGATCTGGGGACTAGCCTGAGCTTGGCTGTCTGAAAAGCAGCCTCTTCCTGCTGCCTAGCCTTGGAACACAGACCTCCAGTGCCCCAGTTCTCCATACTAGTCCTCTAGCCATAGTAGGTCCAAGGAGGGAAACTAGATAATGAGTCTTTCTCTCCTTGAAGGAGACAAACCTCCCGCACTTGTCTGGAGGGCAGACTTGAACACCACATTCTTCTGAGACTTAGATGGCAGGTAGGGCTACCGGATCCCCAGGAGCCAGGAGTTGTCTGAGAGGCTGTCCCAATACTATATCTGCAGAGGTTTCCTCATGAGCCTAACAGGTCCGCCTTATGTTGCTTCTGTCGACAACAGCATGCTAGGAGGAGGCCAGGACCAGGCGCTGGCCTGCAGCACGCTGTCTAGCAGAAGCTGTGACCTGGGAAGGCAAGGCCTGCACCAGCGCACTGGATCTACTGGGCCAGCGCCTCCTTCTCTCCCTCTGCACCAGTGTGCAGGCACACACACACTTCCTGACCCACCTCAGCCCTCTGAGAGCACCTAGCAGCAGCGTGCGGCTCCTCATCGATCCCCTACTGCCCTGGATGTGCACGGCCCCAGCACCATCCCCCCTTTAGCTTCTCAGTGGATACCTGGGGGGGCTGAAGTGGGAAGATCGGCAGAGACCAGCCAGGCTGGGCCCTCAGTTACATGTGGACATAGATTCCCGTAGTTCCTGAGGACTAGATTAGCCAGGACTAGGGATATCCATCAAAGGCCTTGAAGAGCAGAACAGGCACCTACCATTGCTTGCAGTGGGGAGAGAAGGAGTTGGCCCAGGTTGACTGACAAAGGGCTTACACATATGTCTGCTAACACCTGTGATCTCAGCACTTGAGAGTTGAGGTAGGGGAGAATCAAAAGTTCAGGGCTAGCCTAGGGTACATATAGTGAGTTCCAGGCCAGCTTGTGCTACATTGTAAAACCTGGTCTTGCACACACTCCCCGACACACACACACACACACACACACACACACACACACACACACGAAAAATAAAAGAAGGAAAGGAGGACGCAGGAACATCACATGTTGACTGAAGGGTAGGTGAGGCAAGGCATGAGGGGTGGGATTTTGTAGAAGGAGAAGAATGTTTCTGAAGGTGATGGCAAGAAGTGAAAAGGGGTGGCAACACATTCTCCAGATAGGGCACACGGGACTGAACCCAGGAAGAGAGTTGCTGACTTGCCTGGGACCGGTGGAAGGCCTGATCTAGGACCTTGCCCATGTCCCATATGAGAAGAATGAGGAGCAAAACTGGGCTGCATTTACAGGAGCTGCTGGAGCCAGGGGAGACAAAAAAGGGATGTCAAGGGGCCACACTTGACACTATTCAAAGGGGGCAGGGCTGGAGATCTCACTTCAGCTGTGTGGCTCACCTACCTGGACTTTCTTGAGGTCTCCTGGCAAGCTATTCTTGCTGGGATGTCTGAAGAAGGGACTGAGAGGCCCTGCAGCCTCCAGCTGGGGGTTTCTTTGACCTTTCCATTGAAACATGGCTGGATGGTGGGGGCTCACATCCTTTAATCCCAGCACTTGGGAGGCAGAGGCAAGGCTGGAGTCCAGCCTGATCTACAGAGCTAGTTCTAGGACAGCCAGGGTTACCCAAAGAAACCCTGTCTCAAAACATCAAAAGAAAAAAAGACAGACAGAGGACAGGATAGAGCTGAGTGAGGGCTATCGAATGTCTAAGTCACCAGATGAAGACCTGAGGCTTCTTCCTTATTTGTAAAATACACACAATTCGCATGTGTGCATGTTCACACACACACACACACACACACACACACACGCACACACACGACTAAATAAACAAATGTAATAAAATAGTAGAACACACACGAACAACAGGAACCAAGCCAAACAACATTGGTCATTTCTCAGCTTTCCTTTCCTGTCCACACAATGGATGCTCTCTACCTGTAATGGCGGGTGTCCCGGATGGGTCGGTCTGGGCTCAGTTTGTCACTCTCCAGCTGGTTGAAGGCATGTTGTCTGTATGGGTCCTCTCCAGGCTTCAGCTGCTTGGCTGACAGGTATGCCTTCTCATCAAAGCCTTTTGAGGGTGTTCCTGTCACCTGAGACAAAGGTCAGCATCAGAGAGGGCCCGGGCAGGAGGGGTCCACTGGTAGGAAATGGGGAAAGATACACCGAGTCCATGGTAAGAGCGTGCCAGCCGGGTCCCCTCATCCACACCCCTCCCCTGAGAGAACTGGATTCAAACTAGCCATCTGCGCATGTGTGCACAGGTGTGTGGAGGTACCTGGATACAAGTGAACACGGGTGTAGAGTCCAGAAGTCAATGCTGGGGATTTTTTGAGACACCGGATCTGACGGTCACTGATTTGGCTATACTGGTTGGCCAATGAGTTCCAGCTTCCCCTGTGCTGGGGGTACAGGCACGTATCACTACACCCAGCTTCTGTTTTTGGTTGTTTGGTTCTTAATTTTTGCTATTTATTTATTTATTTATTTATTTATTTATTTATTTATTTATCTTTGAGACAGGGTTTCTCTGTGTAGCCTTGGCTGTCCTGGACTCACTCTGTAGACCAGGCTGGCCTCGAACAGGGGAAGAGATCTGCCTTCCCCTGCCTCCCTGAGCGCTGGGATTACATAGGTTCTGGGGATCTGATCTAAGGTCCTCAGACTTTGGGAGGCAGGCACATTATTGGCTGAACTGTCTCCCTAGCACCAAAGCCGGCCATAACAAACGCTAAAGCTAATGCTCTCTACTGGGGATAGAGAGGGTGTTTCCTGGAGAAAATCAGTCACCTGGGATGAGGCGTCTCAAAGAGACTAGGAGCTAGAGGAGGCATTCTGCAGATGGGTAGTCTACTAAGAGTGCTCTTGATCCTGGCTTTGGGTGAGTCACACGCAGGCTGCCTGTGGATAAGAGCCTGGGCTTGGACAAGATGCTGCAGAGAGTTTACACTGAGGACAAACCAACTCTCACAGGTTAAAGCACAGGACCAAATGTATTACTACTGTGCAGGAGCTTCTCTGGGACTTCCGTCTGCTTTCTGCTTCAGTGGCCCCATGTCTGAAGCACTCGGCCCACCGGAGCTAAGTGCTGGGGAGAGAGGGATAACCGGTTCACCAGCCCCACACTCCTCAGCCACACCCTACACTGTGCAACCAGAGTCCCTGGAGAGATACAGGGGAGACACATCAGAGACGAGTGGATGGACACATGCATTCTGACATCTCATTATTTGAACCAAACTGTGGGCCATGAAGGCTATGACATACTGTCAACCGTGCCTGAATCCCGACTCCAATTCTTCAGACCAACCAACAGCCCTGAGCTGAGGGGAGGGAACAATAAAGACAGCAAGAACCGTCCACTCACAGATCCCAAGAATGAGGACTCTATCACATGCCTCGTTCTAAAAGCATGGTCCTGGCATAGCAATGGGACCTGTGGAAAGGGAGACCGCTCCGGGGACTGACCCTGGGGTATCCATGCTCCCTGGAGAGCTTGATCCCAACCTCCCTTGAAGGACTGCTAAAGGGTCTGGAGGCTCCTAACTACTGCCACCTCCTCCAGGGGCCTGTTGTCCTGTGGGCCTGCCGAGAGCCTTGGGGTCCAAGGGCAGATCCGCAGTGGGAAATCTTGTTTTCTCCGGGAAATGTATGTTTGCCAGGGTAAGAAGCTTCTTAGGGTGTATGCTCAGAGGTGACACAGCTGTGGCCACGACAGTCTAATATTCTGAGTCAGCGCCATGCCAGGAAATGAACACAAGTGGCAGCGGCCCCTGTGGGCTCAAAATCCACTTCAGCCAAGAGAGGAGGGGGGGAGGAGGGAGAGAGGGAAAGAGGATGATCCAGCTGAGCCCTGAGTTGCTAGAAAAATCCAGACGGTTCCCTCCTCCCACCAGCTCTGAGGATAAAAGTGAAAAGCTGTGACGCTATGTCCTTCCCACCTAGGACAATGGCGGTACTAATGCTGGCTCCTCCCTTCCCCCAGCTCTGTGTCAGGACAACGGAAAGAAGCCGCTAGCTCATGGCTGAGGAGCTAAAATTAAAGAAAAACCACAGCGGGAAGAGTTTTTCAAACTCCCATAGGGAGTGTATATCACCTCATTATCCTGAAAGTTGACTGGGGGAAACAACCATGCTTATTTATTCAGGACTTTTGGCTGCTCTGTGGCTTTAGGAAACCTCTGACCCCGTGCTCATCCTCTGCTCATTCAACACTGACCGAGAGCCATGCACCTGCCCGGCACCCCTCCCAAGGGTTCGAGGCCTAAAGATCACCTGGGCTTACGTTTATGAATGTGTGAACCCACTCATCCACACCCTCATTCCCCCAGCACCTGCCACATACCCAGAAGTGTGAAAGAGACTTCTGAAATGGCTCCTTGACAGCTGCCTTCCCTTATCTGACCCAAAGCCTCCTGCAGACCTCAGAGGGTGCTCTGGAAGAATATCCCATTAGGCTAAAGCCCTCAGATCCAAGTTAGTCTCAATGCGATCTTGAGAGAAGTCTGAAGTTTCCTTACATGACCCAGAACGCCTGTGCAACCCAGTCCAACTCCATACGGGTCAGAGTCTGAGATGAGACCCTCCTCCTGAGAGACAGTTTGCCAAGAAGGAGGCCTAGGCACACAGGCCCACTCCCTCTCAGCCGTCTCTGCTCTCTTTTCACATGGGTCCGGCGGTCCCTCGGGACGTAGCTGAAACATCAAATTGTCCCTGAACCAACCAAGGGGAGACTGAGGGAGGTAGGATGTGCCTTGTGGTAATGACATGATCCCTGCAGGGCCTCATTTCCTTTTCCTCAGACCCTCCCTGGCTGGCATCTAGATACCACCCATGTAACTCTAGTTTATCAGCCCAGACCATAACTCATTTCCTTGTAGCTCTCCTACTTTTAGCTTTGATCTTGAGGCCTTCGAGCCTTTTCAATGTTCTGTCCTTCTAAAATTGTATCTCAATATGTCTCTGCTCTCTTCACACTCCACACCCTTCTCTGTGCTCCCTGTAGCCCAGACAGGCACTTCCATCTTTGTCTGGCAAGCTACAAGTTCAGGGTCATCTTGGAGCCACTCCCATGCTCTGTAGTTTAATTTAGACCTCTGCCTTGGACTTCCCAACTGCTGTGCTACCGTCGTATCACCAGCACAGCAAGTACTGTGGGAGTCTGGGAATATAGAAATAGAAAGAGCCGGGGGGTGGGGTGGGGGAGATAGCCCACTTGGTAATGTGCTTGCTCTGCAAACACCAAGGACCTGAGTCCAGTCCACAGCACCTCTGTAAAGAGCTGGGTGTGGCTGTGCATCCTTGTAGTTCTACTGCTAGGGAAGCAGACAGCAGAATCCGTAGGGCTCACTGAACAGTCTAACCTAACTGAAGAGCTTCAGACCAATGAGAGACCCTGTCTCAAAAGTTGTCCTCCAGCATGCACACACACACACACACACACACACACACACACACACATATTTGCACATGCAGTTTGCCCAAACATATACAAATAATGATAATAATCTTAGAAAGCTTTCAGCCAGCAGGATGGCTCAGATGCTTAAAGGCATTTGTCACCAAGCCTGACAATCTAAGTTTGACCCCTGGAACAGGTGAAAGTGGAAGGAGAACAAACACACCTATAATTACAACTTATTAGTTAAAGAAAATAACAAAAGCAAAGAGACACACAGCAAGGCAGCCCCAGAAGAGGGACCTCATAGGCATCTGGTTCTTTTCTTGCTCAGCTCGTGACAGGCGTGGCTAAGAAGGGTCATGAAGAAGAAACTCCCACTGAAAGGCGAGGATTTATAGCAGAGCAGCTGGGGACACGGCCACAGAACCTCACCCCAACCCAAGCCAGCTGGGCAGTGACCACAGATGCCGCAGTTTCCCTCCTCCCTCATACAGGGGACGCAGTGACGAGCCTATCTCCACCCACCTGGCTTCTTCAGCACGGCAGGGGTGAGGGGGAAATGTGTCATCTGGTCCTTGGTTACAAGGCCATCAGGAGCTATCCTCTCATGGGACGTGCAGATCCCGGGCATGGGGCTTTTCCCAGAGCTGGTGAGGCTACTGCTGCGCTGTGTGTGGAATCCTTAGGTCAGGCTAGGCACCTGTCACGCGACACTGACATTTGCGATCTTCTACTAAAGCGAGGTGGTTCATGGATGGGGAGGGGCTCGTGAGGCCCCACCCATAGCTGAAGGGCTATGGACAGGTGGCAAGTACTGAGGGAGGGAGGGCCGTTCTTCTTCGAGGGTGTGGCCACAGGGTACCCGTGTTGCATTGGACAGCTCCACACACCGGGAGTACGGCAGCACTGACTGGACTCAATGAATTGTTTTTGTTTAAGAGGACGTAAAGTTGGGAGGGGATATGGTGGAGAGCCAGGGGGAGGTGAAAAGGGGGAATAAGACCAAAACACATTGAATACATGTATGAAATTCTCAAAACATTAATTAAAAAATACTTATTATTTTTTTTTTAATTCTGCTCATTGCCAAGTGGTGGTCGCAGCACTGGTGATCCCAGCACTCGGAGGCAGAGGCAGGAGGATCACTGAGTTCAAGGCCAGCCTGGTCTACAGGGTGAGTTTCAGGACAGCCAGGGCTACACAGAGAAACCCTATTTAAAAAAAAAAAAAAAAAGTGCTGCTCCTCTGTGAGTTCTTGCATCTGACACACAGTACGTCCTCAGCAGGTGTTCGCCGAATAAAGGAATGAATGAGTAACTGAGTGACCAAATAAATATCTAAATATTGCCCCCCCCAAATTAGTAGAACCTTCCCAGCCCCCATGTGACAACTTATAGCCCCCTGTAACTCCACTTCCAGGGGATGCAAACGGCCTCTTCCAGCCTCCACAGGCACCAGGCACCTATGTGGCGCCAAGGTATATATGCAGTCAAAACACTCATACATATAAGATAAAAATTTCTTTGAAGCTGGTATAACCAACCAGGGAAGAAACAGTAGCAAACAAGTGTGATTCTTCCACACCACAGAGCACGGGGAAGCGGATGTCCTGTTCCTCACTGGACTCAGCCTTTCCTGTTGCTTCCACTTCAGCAGCACAGGCTCCTGCCTGCTCTTTCAGGTAGCTTTTCT